CCCCCCCCCGAAGACATGGGGTATGCTGCCAGCTCAGTGGATGGGGGGAAGACAGGGAAGCAAGTCGTGGGGTTTTCTTTTCCTTTTTTTTTTTTTCCTCGGAGGGAGGGGCGAGAGGAGGGGGGACACCAACAATGCAGCATATTCTATTATCGTCTGCGCTGCAGGCAGATGTCAAGGACTCAGGGAGGGGGAGGTGCACGAATGTCTCCTCGCTTGCTCGCACGTGCGCATACATACCTGTGCGCCGAAATGTGGCGGCGCACACACGTCCGGCCGAGGGAGGGAGGGACACCGAAGGAAGGGTGGCAAGGAACCCACACCCACCCTCAGGAAGGCGGGGGCAGGAAAAACTGGCTAACCAGATACTCATACAGATCGTCCCGCTCATCCAGGTGCATGGAATCCATCAGCAGCCGGGGGACATTCCGAGCGCGCTTCAACATGCCATCCAATTCCCCGGTTGAGGGCTCCTTACGCAGGGGCGAGTGTCGCAAGTGCACCGCCTGCCAAATGCCCAAGGCTCGCGGGTGGGCCAGCACACCGAGGTCCAGCGGCTCGGCCTCGGGGACCAGCTCCCGATCTGACCGGAATCGCGGATTCAGGAAGGCATGCGGCCCGCCATAGCCCGCTCGCACCGCATCCACCAGCAGGGTCCACACGCTGAGGGAGCGCCCGGGCATGCCGGTTTCCGAGTCGGCCATCAGCTGCGACGACTGGCGCGAGAGCTCCCGCGCCCGGCTGCAACAGGCCCCATGCGCCGGGTCCAGCCGGGCCATCGGATCGGCCTTCTGAGAATGGGCGGTCGAGTCGCCGGCGCCACTGCCCCCGCTGCCGGCCGCAAAGCCCCCAACGCCACAGCCACCAGCAGCCTGGTCGGCATTCGACTTGCCGTCGGCCTCGCTTCCGGACACCGACGCCGAGAAGGGACTCAGGCAGAAGCGCTGCCGGAGGTTGTCCTGGCGGAAGGTCCCCGTCCGGCAGGCGTAAATCTCCCGCTCGATGGCCAGCAGCGCACGCTCGGTGAACTCAAACCGATCGGGATAGCACCGGACCAACTGGAACACCGCGTCCAGCCACTGCAGGAAGATCGGGGCACATTCGGCATCCGTGTAGGCGCCCTCATTGGCATGGCCATTGCGCAGCTCAAATTGATGCCCGTGCCAGGCCCACTCGCGCTCGACCAGCACCGCGAACCCCTCCAACGTCCGGTGGAAGCCATCCATCGACAGGGTGGCCAATGAGGAAACCTGCGGCGTCCGGTCCCACCCGTCCGAGCAATGGACCAGGGTCGACCGGCCGCGCAGAATCCGCCGCTGGACCTGGTGAGCCGAGGCCAGGATCCGCGCCATCAGAGCCAGCCACGGCTCGGCCGCCGACAGGACCTGCTCAAAGGTGGGGGCCTTTTGCAAGGCCGCCAGGCGCATTTGCCGGTATGCGCCGGCCACTACCTGCACATTGCCTGCAGTGGCGCATGCACACATACATGGCCGGCAGCAGCGGCCGCAGCATCCCGACAAGCATTCATCGCGGAAAGGTGAGTCAGCAACGGGAAATGGCGGCTCCGACGGCAGTGGCCTGAAGGAAGGAAGGAAGGAAGGAAGGAGGGAAGGAATGGGGCAGGCGGCCAGAAGAAGGCCAGCCGGCACAAAGACCAGCACAAAGCCCCCCTGGCCTTGGACCGTGCGCCCCCACAACATTGCCCCCCGAGGTGATGTCACGCACCAATGCCCCCGAAGACCACATCCGCGCCGTAGTACTGCGGTGACTCGGCTCCAAAGCCCTTGGCACGATGGAAGTACATGGTCAACATCGGCCGCGCGTCCAAAATGAAGAGCCCGGGGATGGGAGTCGCCGGCACGACCGCCGTCTCGGCCACCGTGGCCGCCGCCATGGCGGTGGCGGCCGTTGCGGCAGCCGCCGCTGTCGAATCTCCGGGGATCGCGCGCACGCCCGCTTCCCCGAAGGGCGGCTCTACCGATGCCTGTGGTAGGCGCCCATGCGGCGAGTAGACCACCCGCTTGGCGGCCTGTGTGGAGGCCGAGCCGCGCCCGGCAGCCGACCCGGCCCCGGTGGCCGATCCGGCCGACGAGGTCAATGACGCCAGCGCCCCACGCAGGATGTTGGCCGCCGATGAGTGCGACGACGGGGCGAAGTCCGAATTGTCAAAGTCCAGCACCCGGCCCGGGGCCGGGCCAACCACCAACCGCACGGGGCCGAATTCCTGTGGCCAGGCGGCCCGCCGGTCGGCCTGCGCCACAGCCGCCGCATCTACCAGCGCCGAGCAGAGAGCCTCGTCGCCGACACTGCGCGACGCAAACATCCCGGACATCGGCTGCGACGCTCGGGCCAGGGCCACACCGGCTGGCGACACCCAGGTGACCACGGGCAGGCGACCACGCGAGCGGAATTGCGCCGCCGAACGGGCCATCGTTGCCACGGACGCCAATTCCGGCAGGCCGGACGGATTCCCCGGCGAATGGAAAGCCGGCGAGGGGGCATTCGAGGGAGGGCCCCCAGGGGTGCCGGGAGCACTGGACCCGGAGGCCGCCGAACCGGCCCCCGAGCCGGCCGCCGTGCTGGCACCCGCCGCCAAGGCTGCCGGGCTGAAGACAAACCCGCCGAAGGTGACCGCCTGGTCGCCGGTCAGTCGACTGCCCCGGCCGGCCGCGGCGGTTGGCGTGAAGTGCGGCCCAGTCGGCACGAAGGACGGCAACACCACACGCGGAGGGTACGTGTCACACAGGGACACACGACAGTCGGCCGAGTGGGGCTGCTGGAAGGAGGTCTCCGCCGCGGCCAGCAGCTGCGAGTCCGATGCCGAAACCTTCGGGTCAAGGCAGTCTGCCGGGGCTGACCCCGGCGCGGCGAGCACAATCGGGCCACCGGCAGAGGAGGAAGAAGAGGCAGAGGAGCCGGCCGAGGAAGCGAAGGAAGGCGAAGACAAGGAGGAGGAGGCGCCGCCCGAGGAGGAGGAGCCCCCGATGGAAGCCGATATCCCTCCCGGACCGGCCAGCATGCCGGGGGTGGTGGTGGTGGTGGTGTCGGGCGCCCCATTGGCACCGGCCTCCGTCGCAGTCGGGGCAGCCGGCTCGAGAGCCGCATACTCGATGCTATGCAGGGCAAAGCGATTGTTGGCGTGCGGCGGCACGCGCGAGAGCAAGCGATTTAGCTCGCGCTGGGGATTGTACAGGCGCCAGCCATAGTCGCCGGGGGCCCCGCGCCAAGGGTCACTGCTCGGGGCGTCCACCGATTCCAGGAGCTCCAGCGGCGGATCTTGGAAGTCGTAAATCTGGTCCAGGACCGCCGGATGCCGGTCCCCCAGGTCCGGGTGCTCCTCCAGCAAATCACGCATGCAGCCCGAGCAGGGCCGGTGCATGCAGGCCGTGCACCGGTAGTCCGACGCTTCGGCCACATCCGGCGACCAGCAACTGCTGAAGCTGGCCACCAGCAGGGCCTCGCGCGTGGTGGTCACCGACATGTAGGTGACCAGCCCCGGCCGGTCGGGGTCGGCCCCGGGGGGAGCCGCCGCAGTCGCGGCCGACCCGCCCGCCGGCCCAGCCAAGTCCACCCCCAGGAGGTGATTGTTCTGGCCGGGATGCGGCGCCGGGACCGAGCAGGCAGCCGCGGCTCCGGGACCTCCGGATCCGGGGCCACCAATTCCACCACTGCCCAGGAAGGGCCCCGGCGAGGCCACCTGCTCCCAATACCGGAGGATGCCCATCCGACAGTAGAGGTAGGCAAATCGCAGGTCGAAGTTGAAGGCATCCTGCTCGAAATGCAGAGAGCTCCGGTGGGCCAGGACATCGCGTCCACCTGGCAGGGTGCCCGTTGCCAGGGCGGGCAGGGCTCCAGGCAGCTCGACAAAGCAGTACTCCGACCCTGGGGCCGGATCTTGGGCGAACTGCGGCGATCCGAGGGACATGCCGCCGGAGGCGCAGCCGCCAGACCCCTCCCCGCCGAGAGGTGCACCCGCGCCAGGCCCGGACCCCGGGACATCCGCCATCATGTGGGGACTGCCGGCTCCGCGGGCCCACACACCGCCGGGACCGGTGCCGGCGGGCGTGCCGCTGCCGCCACTACCACCACCACCACCGAGGGACGAGCTGCTTCCCGGACCACCACCGAGAGACCCCCCGGCGGCGGCACCGACGCCGGTCGCCGGCATTTGGGCCAGAGCCGGCCGCGTGCCGGCTTGGTTGAAGGCCATCTTGCGCAGGTACTGGAGGATCCAGTCATTCCCGTGGGACATGATGAAAAAGCGCCGCGAGTCCACCAGCCGGATCTCCCCCTGATCCGACACAAAGCGAATCAGCGCATGCGGAATGCGCCGCATGCTGCGGTTGATCAGGATGGCCCGAGTAGCCTCGAAGGTCCGGCGGTTGGGGAAGTGCATCGGGTCCAGGGCCGAGTGGATCAGCTGCTGGCGGGTGTCGGACTCGGCATCCGCGAAGAAGAGATGCACCGAGGAGACATACAGCTTGCCCACCTGGGTGATTTGCTGGTTGAGGTTCTGGAAAATGACCGAATGGACTGTCCGTTGTTGAGGAGGAAAGGAAGAAGGTGAGCAGGGAGGCGGGGCATATGGAAAAGAAGCACCAAGGCGAAGGAGCCGGGGAGGGGTGCGGGCGAGGGGAGGGGATGGCTGCGCACGCTGGACGATGAGATACTCGCCCGGCAGGAGATACGGGCCGTCGAAGCTGGTCGGGCTGCGCATCAGGTGCCGGTAGAAGATGGCTTCGGCCAGCTGGGTGTGCTGGTGCTTGCGTTCCGGCAACCGGCATTGTGGCCCAACGGCAGCCGGGCGCTCGCCGCCGGTGCTCGAACACGCGGCGGGGGGCAGATGGTTGTCATGAAGGAGATGGTGCGGACTTTGATGGTGACTGTGGTAGGCATGATGCTGCTGGCCGGCATACGGGTGGGCGTTGGTCAGGTGGAGAGTAGAGGCATCGGGCTCGGCCAGACGACCGGTACCGGTGCCGGTGCCGGTGCCGATGCCGGCACTGGTGCTGGCGCCCGAACTCCCGGGCCCTGGGGTCTGGGTCACAAAGGGATTGGTCGGCCTCGGAGGCGAAGACCCGAGGACCGTGCTGGTGGACAGCATATCATTCGGCTCGGGGTTGGTGCGGAAGAGGTCGCGTGGGAATGACTCCTCCGCTGGCGGGGAGGGGAAGCTCGAGCTGGACAGGCCCCCGGGGGGGCCGGCTGAGCCAAGCACATCGGATGACGGACTGATGGAGAGGAAGCCCGGCGAGCCGGCCCGCTCGCCGGCAGACTGAAGGGACAGCTGACTTGACAGACGCGAGGAGATTTCGCTGAGAGCCGGCGAGTCGCCGCTCGGAGCGCGGCTGGAGCCAGATCGCAGGGCCGAGGAGCCGGAGCGCGAGCGCGCCGGGCTTAGACCCCATCCCCGAGGGGACGTGTGCAGGCTCAGCATCGACTCCGAGTATGGAGCCTCCGGCTCATCATCGAAGCCGCTCCCGGGGCTGAGGCTGTCATCCGGCAGCCGGGGATCGTGCGTGGCCACGGATGACCGCGGCAAGCCTGGGCATGGTGGGGGGGGGGGGGCATTTGCGTGTTAGACAGGGAACCATCGGGGGGCAGAGAGCCCGGGGCCAGGAGGGAATCCCGGCACGGCACCAGACGTGCGCATACCAAGCGTGTGATCCGGATCCAGGTTATATTCCCGGTCCATGAGGATGAATCCATCCTCCACGATGTCGTCCGTCAGGTGGGCGGCAGGGCGCGGCCCGGTGCCATTGGGTGTGAGGAGTGGGCTCTCGGCCCCGGAAGGGGGGGCTGAAAGGTCGGGCGGCGCAGCCATGGCCGTCGCAGCGGCTAGCCCTTCCGGTACTGGCGGTGGGGCCGCCGCCGCGGATGACTGCTGCTGCTGCTCCATAAAGCGGCTCAGCC